CGCGTTATTTGTGCATTTGAGAGAAATAATGAATAATTGATTAAAAGGTATTAGTGGCGCCATCTTATAGGAAAAGTTGGAACTATTCTCACTACAAACTTGGGCGTTTTCCCACGGATGGCGCTGTTAATAATACAAATAATATTAAATAAAATATTTTAAAACTAAACAATTAGACATATTCGGACATGCACTTATTATTTTATTATTTAATACATCTATCATTTTATTTATCACGAAAGTTATCTTTAGGGAACACAAGTTTGCGTTACGTTGCAAATAATGATTATAAGTTCGCACCTATTATTAGTATAGTTTGTTTCTTTATTTTATAAGGGGTACGTAATTCGTTCTTTATTAATTATTGCTCGGGTACCTCGGCATCGCTAAGCCTGTACTGTAGCCATAATCAAACATATTATAGCTACAGGCCCTGAGGGTTATTAGTATAGTCGAGTAATTCAACGAAAATATGAATTTCTGTATTCACTAATTATGCAATAACCTTTTCCTAATTTCTAAATGAAAATCAACTTCGCAAACTATGCAATAACCTGTTCCTAATTTCTAAATGAAAATCAACATCCCAAATTACCGATATGCACAACAAATTAAAATTCAATTTAATTTCGCTTCAAATTACATCTATCTAGACACGAAACACGCGAGAAATCCTTTTTCGTTGCAAGAAACAAATTCGAATGAAAGAAGGGTGGAAGAAAAATTGCGAGGGGTTGAATAGAACGCGAGCAGGCAATAAACCCCGACGCAGGCGCAACCAATGCGATAGAACGATAGATAAACTAGCGTAATGGTAGCGGAACTACCAGTCGCTATGCGCTTACCTCAGTACGCAAAGTGCTTTTTCGCATTGATCATTGCGATCTGTCGTCCGTTCTTGAGTAAAGAAAATCGTTGGAAAAAGATCCTCCTCGAATTGTCGAATGTATCGATAAAGAAACGAAGGGGCGGGGCTTAGGGGGGGTAAATTTAAATTTCCACGGCAATGAGATGGGCGAAAGGCGCGTGACAATTATCACAGACGTAAGTGCATCTTCTTTTAGATAAAGTAAATAAAAAGTTTTCGATGTTATTAATGGGTTAAGGGTTAAATTAAAGGGCTTCGTGGGGTAAGAGTATTGCAGTAATAAAGAAATTATTAAAGAAGATTGATATGAAGATTGATATCTAAATAATGCGTTTTTTGGAATATATAGAGGAATAAAATTGGCTATGGTATTAGAATTTCTTTTTTTTTATTTAATTTTACACTTGCATGTTGAGTGTTAATTGCAGTTGAAGACTAAAGGACTTAAAGCGTTGTTTTATGTGTTTTCAATTAGAACAATCGTTTTTATTTCCACTAGCATATATTTAATATTCAAATTAGTATTTTAGAATATCGAATATTTGCTAATAAAAATGGAACCTTTGTGTTTTCTCTAAAATATTCACAAACACGATTGTTTAATATTCAAATTAGTATTTTTGAATATTAAATACTTGATAGTAAAAATGAAACCTTTGTGTTGTCTCCGAAATATTGACAAACACGATTGTTCTAATTGAAAAACATGAAACACTTCAAATCCTCTAATCCTCATCTGCAATGAATACTCGACATGCAAGTGTAAAACAAATAAAAAAAAACCTGATATCATTTAAGATTCGACGAAAGAAAATAAAATACAAACTGATCGACACGACGATGAGAAATTTAATGTTCGTTGCAAAAGTAAAAGTGCTTTAAAAAAAAAATATTATGATCAACGATGAATTTTGAAAAATTAGTTGCAGAATGGATGTAAGTTCGCTGGTACCGGCGGGTCTTTTAGCGGGTCAGGTGGATCTGTACGAGGTCCAGGCCGGTTACAATAAGTTCTCCGAAAATCTGCGAAAGTTCACCCCCCAAGCCATACAGTGCGCGATCTTCTGCGGTGGTTCTAGGTGCAAATACGAAAATCCAAAGGCATGGCCTCCCGTGCACATGGCGATACAAAACATCTTTTCGCATTGGTAAGAATGTTCAAAATATTTTTTTGAATGCTCTGAAAATTTATTAACCCTTCAATAATGCACCAATATTAATCACCAATATTATTAACCCCCAATAATAATTCATAGTAATAATACGGAATTTAGCAGAAGGTGCTTTAGTGAAAGAAACGTGAATTATGTCGTTGCACATTATTATTAAAAAATAATAATCGAGAAAACCTTTCAGAATTTTGTTTGGCATTTGTATTGAACAAACAGGATATTGAAGATTATTTATTCGATATTCGAAGTCTTAAACCAGATAAGAATTTTGTTTATCTCTGCATGTTGCATGGATTTCATTTTATTTTTTAAAAATATAAACGTTTCTATATTTATTTATGTATTCATGGTCAAATTTATATAAATAATGCTGCAGTACATACCTCGAATATTGAAATGTAACGTACATGTAATACGGGACATAACAAATATTTGTAAAAATCCAAGCAACATACAGATATTGTAATATAATATTCTTTAACAGTTGAACTTCTATGATCGCTAGACTGCGGATTCTTATGCATTTATAGAGAATCTGAACGTGCAAGAAAATATAGAATGGACGCAGTTGCCAATAGTATAAAGAATATTCAAAGTAAAGTACATATTATAATAATTGCAAAGTAAAATAAATTCTATTTGGGTTCAGTTTTTGTAGATACGTTTACAAAGATTTTATTTTCCATAAAGATCCGCAGTCTAATGATCACTATATTGATACAAAGACATTGTTAATTTATTCCTAATTTATTTTTGAGACTAACTTATGGCAACACATAGTGATTCAAGGAAATACACGAGTGAAATGTGTTTAAAAATCAGAAAATTGTTTTTAAATTCTCAATTCCTAACATTAAGAATAATTCTCGATGCGTGAACGGTGGTCAAACCCACAAACTTCCTTCCCTTGCGGGCACACGCGTGAAATAACGTCGCAGTGGAAATACATACGTCGATCGTGTGGGAGAGATTTCAACCGCCAATGTTAAACCGCACGAACTCCGATTCTATATTTATTGCCCTACGAAACTGAATCGATCGTAATCGTGAAACGATAACTGCTCCCTAGATAAAATTAAACTCAATGCCACGTGATTTTGCATACAACATTGAAAATCTCTAGAATGCGAGAGATTACGTACATTCTCGGACCACTTATAATTTAAAGTACATATTCTGTATATTTAAAGTATATTATCATTTAAAGTATATATTCTGATTTGTTCCTGTTCGATCTAAGAATATGTTATATGGTCGAGAAGTGCGTAATCCCTTAGCGTTAATACGCAAGTATAAAAAAACTGCGGTAAACGGAGAGTGATTTATTCTGTTGAGAACAGTTAAAACACTCTCAGCAGTCTGTCACTCACTCTGAGTCGCTTTGTGGAGTCGAGAGCAAATAAAAAAACTGGATAATAAATGTGAAGAGTGATTGATTCGGTCGACAACAAATAAATCACTCTTTACTCGTTCTCTGTAGTGTTTCACCTGTTTTTACGTATTAATGGAGATTAGATGCATGTAAGGTGGGGATAGTTTGATTGAAAAGTGTGCCAAGAGTGAGTTTCATTTATAAGGGTACAAAGTCATAACTTAACTATAACACGTAATGCAAATTTGTTCGTTCTTTACATTCATTTAATGAAATGCTTTAGTTTGCTTTTGTGTTTGCTTAGACACTTCTTTTAATTCACACGAGGAATGCCAGTAGTCTGTTTGGAACTATTGAACATAGCTACAGCCCTTAAGGGAGTGTGCTGAGAACAATTGAATTAATGAAAAAAATTTGTTTGGGAGGTATGATAAATATATTCAATTTAAAATTTGGTATTTCAAATTAGTATCTCTCTAAATATATTATTAACTCGTTACGTAATACATTTATTAATCGTAAGATTATAGTAAGCATGAGTTAATAAAATAATAAAAAATGGCAAAATAATTTATACTAACGAAGCTTTAGATATCCAAGATACTTTCCAAACACATTTTTAGATATTTTCAAAGACGAGAACTATTTTTGCGAATTAAAAGTTTGTCACGAATTCATCGAGATTATTATTTCTGTATTATGCAAGATCGGAGAAAATTTGTTTGAGAAGTATGATAACTATCTTAAATTTAAAATTTGTCTTTGACTCGAGTCATTCCAAATTAGTATTTCTTCAAATAGATTATTAACTGCGAACATTAATTTATTAATCATAAGATTAAAGTAAGCAAGAGTAACTAAAATAAAAATGGCGAAATAATTAATACTAATAAAGCTTCAGATATCTAAGATACCTTCCAAACGCATTTTTAGATATTTTCAAAAACAGGAATTATTTTTTAATTAAAAAATCTGTCACGAATTTATCGAAATTGTTATTATTATTTCTGCATTATGCAAAATTGGAGATAGTGTAAGCATTGATCATTCCCTAGGGTGACGGACGACGTCCTAGCGATGGCACGGCCGAACACCGCGCAGATAATAAAAAAAGACATAATTGCACAGTTTCAAGGGTGGAGTATAAAAACTATAATAAACCTACAAACGCCGGGGGAGCATGCGAGCTGCGGGGGGCCACTTGAGGAAAGCGGCTTCACTTACGATCCGAATGTCTTCATGAAAAATGGCAGTAGGTATTTAAACATTAATTTTATTAAATATTTAACAAACTCGAGGCACCCTCGTCAATATTTAATTCGATAGGTTCGTATTGCACGCGAAGTGGACGAAAACTGACGGGTTATAAAAATTTTAGGGGGACACGCGATTATGTTGTCCAGCGATGGGAAAAATTGATTATTAAGGAGTCCAAGTAATCGCGATTAATTATTAATGAATAATGGGCCACGATTGCCTTTGAAATATTACAGGTTATTGATTTATTATTGCTGTATTATTGCTTGTTTATTATTACGAATATAGTTTGCTATATTATTCCTATACTATACATTTATTAAATATAGATATTGTATATTATATTTATATATATTATTATACACTATCCAATGATTGTAAATTACAATTACGATAAAGTAACCACTGTTCAAACTGAACTGTAATTACAAGATTCAATTTCAATCTTTAAGATTATTTGTGTTACAAACTGGCCTTTGCTTAGCTTTCTATGGATTTATATATTTCTTTTATTTTATTCTATCGATTCAATTTTATAATTATATCAATACTTACTACTTCGAGACTGAACACTTTATATTTCGATATATATACGACTTTTTTACCTGTTTAAATGTAGTAAGACATTTTCAAAGATTAGACGTATTTTAGAATAGAAAAGTTTGTCATGAATTTATCAACATTGTTATTTCTGTATTATGCAAGATCGGAGAAAATTTGTTCGAAAAATATGATAATGCTCCATTTGTGTGAGCGATGTGTCGATTTGTGTATTTACATCGAACAGAAATTTAATCGATATACAGCATCATTTATTTTTATTTTGATACGCGGAACATATTTTTTCCCGAATACAACCCAATTTGAATTTAGAATCACAGGAATAGTTGCACCCTAATTCCGGATTGATTTTCGAAACTTCCATTTTCGGAACGAGTTGGACGAAAGGGTCGAATTGGTTCGCGAGCTTTGTGCACCGTCGTTTTGATAGAACATGCAATGCAGCAAAACCGCGAGTGTATCCATATACGAAAGTTTCGAGGGGGGTTGAGCAGCGAACCGCGGAACGCGAACCGTGCTTGTCTCTTCGGGGTCAGATGGCTCGACCAAGGTCTTCGAATAATACGATTCCGCGAATTTTGTTGCAGTTTACTATTACAATTTCGCACTGAAGGATTACGGGGACGCAACGATGGGCAAACTTCTGGATATGGTCAAGGTCGTGGCCTTCGCCGTGCAGGAAGGAAGAGTGGCAATCCACTGTCACGCTGGTAAATCGACTCTTTTTCTTTTTTATCACCCCTTCTCGTCGATCGATCGACCCGATTCCCGCGCCATTTCTCACCTTCGATTATCTTTCGAATCTCGCGTTTGTGCAATTGGCAAAATTGTTAGATGGAAGAGGAAAAGTTATGCTAATTATTGACACGGTTCACGGGAGATTGATAACGATAAGGTACATAAAGTCGAGTAAATCGTATCGATTTTTAAGGAATATCGACGTAAAAAAAATGTCTAGTCATGAAGCTTATGGCACATTGAAATATACTTAAGTTATCTGATCGTTCATGAAGGTCCTACTATAAATTCCCATCATAATATTTTCTTTCCTTGTTAGAACTTATTTCTATAGAGTTAGTTCTCCAAATATTGAAATTGGATCAATTTGATCTCCTAAAATAATTAATTATTTAATTAATTACTCAATCTTTACGATATTCCTTTGTTAAATTCAATTACCCTAATTTCATCAGGACTAACAATTACCCGAAGTCGCCATTCAATAATTAATAATAAAATAAATACTAGTATATTAAGTTTATTAATATAAATATATTTCTAAAATTATTGATATTAATAAACTTAATATACTATTATGTATTCGGAATGAGAAAATTCCTATCATAATATGATTATATGATAGGAATTTTTTGTAATTCTCTTTATTTAAAATCGACACTTTTCATTTATTATACCAAGATGTACCCTGAAAAAATTACCCAAAGCTCGTTTTATTATCGCAAGAAGAAAGAACGAATATTCGCGGATAAATGGGAATGTAGCGCTATACTATTAAGTGGAACGAGACGTCTGACTATAACGTCTGACCCAATACGCTCTTCCACTCGAGGTCTTTCTTCATTCGCGAAGTATCTGGTGATGTTATCGCGCCTAACGTGGATGCGCTCGATTTTCCCTTATCGCGACCTGTAAACGGACCTTTTAATTCAAGAAATTAGTTATCTCTGGTTACGCGATCCTTGCCTTCGCGAGCCTAGTTATCAGCGATTTGTAACCTTTAAGTGTATCGATCTAAGGGACCGTGTGAAACACGTTCAAACTGGCGCGATACCGTTTTGGTGCATTGCGTGCCGTTGCACGTGGCGTCAACGGCGGTGCATCTGAATTTTTGCATTCGTTATGCATCCCCCTTGAACTCTGGCCTGAACGCCACGGTCACAAAAATTGCACGTTTCGTAATGCAAATTCGGTGTGACGAGAAGTGGGTGTGCCGGTTGGTCTGATTTATTCCAAATATTCTAGCATAGTTGTTTAATAAACATTTTCGTTCTTAATTCAGGTCTCCTACTGTATATAAATTTTAATTATAAATGGAGTCGACAGTAGACTATTCAGGGTTAGTAAAAGAGATAAAATTAGTGAAAATATGTTCTGATAAATTCATATTTTGTCTGTCCTAGTTAAAATAAATATTCTGGTATATATAAGTTAAAGAAGCATAGTTTATTTATTTCATAAACATTTGGATTCTTCAATTCAAGTCCTCATCAGTACGAAATTTAAATTAGAAATAAAATATTGGTCGAAATGATAGAATAAAAGAATATTAATTGAGAAAAATGCCTAATTATAAAATATACTTTAACAAAATCATCAGATAATATTTTCATTAATTCCATTTTTCACATTTATTCAGCCTACAGTTTACGACTAAACTTCTTTTATAAATTGACATTATTTCAGAAATTTTATCTCTTCGACTCGTCCCTATTGATTTACTATCGACTGTAATTATTATTTCTATATGAAAATGTTACTCTTCAAAATTTGCAAAGTTAAGGTCACGTTTACATTTGTCGCTACAAATCCTTACTTCACCATTCAAACCTATAAATTTCATATTCTTGCACGATAATGCGGCAATTCTGTCAGTTAGGCACTTGCACGCACCCTGCGTGCAACTCACAACTAGTCGACGATTGACTATGCGGTATTAATGCACACAATGCATTCACGTCTCTAAAACTATAATTAACGCAGCGATGGAAATGATGTCGAGTCGATGGTATCGATATTAGACTGTCAGTTATAATCTGGTATTGAACAGGAAATATCCAGGTATCAAACATAATCGATATGTATATTTGATGCTACAATTACACGAGGGTATCGATGCACAATTGCTACTTCTACGAGAGTATCGATGCATTACACGAGATGGTCGTGAATTTGTTCAGAAACTGTGTCAATATTGCTATTCTTTTTATGTTTATTTTTATTCTCGTTTTAGTTGTGAAATCATTCAATGAAACATTGGATATAACACAAAGAAAGTGTAAAAGAGTAATTGAATTTGTTTGTTATCGTTTGGGTTCTTTTAAATGTTTGAAGTTTAACATTAATTTCATACAAATGTATAGTAATATAAAATGCACAGTGAACAATGCCATTTAATATTAGTATACCTTGTACATTTTATATTATTATTGTATATGTCAAACATAATTTTATGTTAACTGAAAATAGGGACACCTACTGTTTCTAACGTTTATATTTTAAATTTGCTATCACTAGTGGTTCCATCGTTCGATGCAAAATTCAGTAACCACTTCTGCGTGCTTCCATGAAGAATTTCCTAATTGACGGAAAGCGTGTTCGGCAACCATAAGCGCACCCGGTTCTAAATTCTGCGAGGGAATTTATGTGCACGAAAAATAGATGACGTTGGATAAGGAATTGGGGCGAAATTGCACTGCATTCACGATTCGTGACTACTCTCAAATTCTAATTTTTCTGACTCGAAATTCAGAATTCACGTAATAATTACAAATAAACAATGAACGACAAGCATTTTTCTACTCGTTACTCGTACGACAAAAAAATAGAATTCGTATTATACACCGAAAGATTTCACAATAAATAAATGAAAATGCATCTTTTCAATCGAATAAACGTTAGGAATAATTAGCTACAGATTTTATTTGTCGTTCATTGTTTGAATAAAATTTTAAGAAGCAATGAAATTACTCACTTTCGCAGTCTCTTCACTCCGAGCATGAAACACCCACATTTATCACAGCGTATGCATCAGCGATAAATTCTCTCTCGAACGATCTCTGGACGCGTTGTCAACCGACAATTAAATCGAATCCCCGAAATTCCACGCGAGTTTCGCGTGTACGCTCTGTGACTTAATTACGGGACCGTGGAAGCATATTTGCGTGCTGAAACGTTCACGTGAGGAATGCATACCGTGGAAATGTGAACTATTCATAAGCAAAGTTGATTAACTCCACAAAATAAAAATTAGAGAAAAGTAACAAAGTGATGTGCATCGTTTTTAAAAATTTTGTTTTGTATATTCGTTCAAGTAGATACAGAATATATTGTGCAAAATAAACGTTTTGGTAAGTGAAATTAAAACAAAAGTGAAATAATATTTTTAAGTTAAGTTTTCAAACAATTTGTTCAGGTTGATTTTTTAAACTAGAAACTCTTTTATCAGAAGTAATTTTTGCACTACTGTTTAATTCAATTAATAACATAGAGATAATTAAATTCCTATAAAAATTCGAATTGCACTATTGTAACGATCTGTGTTCAAATATGGAGTTAATCAAATTGACTTTTAAAATAAATTACGCAATATTTACTAGACAAAAGTTACGATCGTTCAATGGTCTTGAAGTTAATTATTACTTTTCATTCCGAGTATATAAAATTATGAGTCAATTTTATATAGCATCCGTTTGGTTTATGTTACCAAGAAATATCTCTGAAATATTATTTAATTATCAGAGAGAATTTCAGATTTAACACACATAAAGATGATTCGTACACTTCATTAGAGGAATAAAATTGTTTTAGAATTGGTAAAATGATTTACATATTTTAGAGGTAATCCTTTCACTATTACTCGTTCACTAACACTATCGTAGTTCACTGTATGTCGATAAGCCTGGCACTTCCGTGTTAGATCTCACGCACTTGTAATGTCACCTTCCTTTCGCGGTGGTGGGACTTCGAATACTGGAGATTCTGACCTGCCCATTCATGCTCCATTCATGCTCCATTCATGCCCCACTCTTTCTCTCCCTTCCGCGGGACCGCTCGACCGACAGCGCCCGAACGGTCCCGAGCCTTTCCTTTCGTTAAACCATTAATTAACCTTCATTATATGTATGTATTTACAGACTGCCAATTACATCCTAAAATTTATTAAAAAATTAACTTGTCAAAATGTTATTATTTGATTCATATCATTTCACACTCTTTGAAGCAACTTTACGTTACAAACTATAGCGTGGAGTGTATTAAACAATTAAATATTCATCGTCGTACTTATTTTTGTAACTTTATAAAAATTCACGAATCTCATTTAAATTCAGCATTTCGCTTATTCTCTTTAGAAAAATAGTTAAGGAAATATAATACTTTAACTTTCTATTGTTCACTGTCTAGGAACTAATTTTTCATTTAATATAATTATGAAATTGTACACGTGTCTCAAATGCAATTGTTAAATAAATTTCGCGATTATTTAATTTTTATATTCAACCCTATTGTAAGCATTTCTCTTATTCTTATTGTTAAATAAATTTTTTGGTTATTTAATTTTTATATTCAACCCTATTGTAAGCATTTCTCTTATTCTTATTGTTAAATAAATTTCTTGGTTATTTAATTTTTATACTCAAAACTATTGTAAGCATTTCTTTTATTCTCTTTAGGAAAATAGTCAAGGAAAATTAATATTTTATTTTCTATTATTCTCTTTCTAGGAACTAATTTTTCCTTTAATATCATTTTTCCTTGAAGAGGACCTGAAAAGTGAGGTCGACACGATTAATAGAGAGAACTATTAGGTCGTCCTATAAGTTCGTGTCACAGTTTATATTTATCAAAAAAATACAAACTACAGGAATGATTTAATAGTGAAATTATTTATAGCGACTGAAAGGTGAACACTTAAATAATAAATTTGAATAAATTAAATAAACAATTTGATCTCGCGGGAAGACCTAATAAATAAAAGCTTGCACCGGATCATATTTTGTTTTCAAATTACGTTCACCTAGAAAATGAGAAAATCGCTGCAAAATAAATCTATTTAGGAATGGCCTGTCGGTTCTTCCTCGTGATTAATAAAAAGCTGTCACGACGACATTTCAGAAGATATTATTCTTTCAGGCCTAGGCAGAACCGGGGTTCTGATCGCGTGCTACCTCATTTACAGTCTTCGTGTGCGAGCGAACGACGCCATAAGGTTCGTTCGCATGAAACGACCGTCCGCGATTCAAACTCGAGGACAAATACTCTGTATCCAGGAGTTCGAGCACTTCGTTCTTCCACAGATGATAGTTTTCCCGTTGACCAGCACAATAGGCGACCGCAAGCCCTGCAGCTTGCAGTCGCACCTCAGGAGACAGCACAACGTTCTGCACGGATACGAGCAACGTACCTTCAAACACATTCCAAAGGTCCGTTTCTATTTTCACATCGTGTATAAATGGACAATATTAACGCGTTAACTTCTAGACAAATATTCCTGAAAGAGTCTGCTAAAATTGAATATTATTCAAATAATTGGAGACTGCACAATGAAACATTAACTTCATAAAAATTCACGAATCTCATTTAAATTCAGCATTATTCTCTTTAGAAAAATGGTTAAGGAAAAATAATATTTTATTTTCTAACCGACTTCGAAAAGGAGGAGGTTACTCAATTCGACATGTATTTTTATTTTTTCCTATTGTTCAACTGTCTAGGAACTAATTTTTCATTTAATATAATTATTCCTTGAAGAGGACCCAAAGGGAAATCATTCTCTTAAATGCTTGACTTTCAAAATTAATTTTTCTAGTTCTTCAATGAAAAGCACTATCACCCATACAGGGTGTCTCAAAAATGTTGGAGGTCCTTATTCACTGTCTAGGAACTAATTTTTCATTTAATATAATTATTCCTTGAAGAGGACCCAAAGGGAAATCATTCTCTTAAATGCTTGACTTTCAAAATTAATTTTTCTAGTTCTTCAATGAAAAGCATTATCATCCATACAGGGTGTCTAAAAAATGTTGGAGGTCCTTAAAAGTAGTGGTTCGAAGGGTGACTTGAAACAATTTTTTCCTTAGCGTAAATATTGTCCGAGTTAAGAAGATGTCAATAGAAAACCCCGACCAATCACAGCGCGGTCGCTTAGCGCGTAGTTTACGCTACCGCAGCTGACTAGAGCTAGCCTATTCTACTGCGGCTGACTAGCGCTTAGTCTACACTACTGCGCCCGTCTACTGCGTAAACGGTTTTCTGTTAACATCTCCTTAACGAAGCCTCGGACAACATTTTCGTCAAGGAAAAAATTGTTTCAAATCACCCCCCGAATCCTTTTTATAGATCTCCAATCTTTTTGGAACACCCTGCATATAGATAACATGGCGATGAACTTGTTAACCCTTTGAATGCCAAGAAGCGATATATCGCTGCTCGAACCTGCAAGTGCTATAACTCGTTAGAAAATTTTTGCTGAAACCTATAACATTTTATTTTTATTTTTTTAAATAACGAAGGGAGTCTAACATGTTTTTGCTATCGCGTAAAAATTTCACGAGCCTGAAAATAAAATTGAAATATACACTTTTGTTTACAATCATGTATATTTACTTAAAGTTGTCCGGCATTTCACGGATATGAATGAAAATTTCCTCTGGCACTCAAAGGGTTAAACATGAAGTTTTGAAGTTTGAGCGTCAATGAAGTTTGATTTGGACGATTTAAATTTATTCTTCAGATAGTCTTCACTATTTGCGAGCGAATTCTTCAACTCTGCGACTGTCAGGACGATAATTCGCCATGCGAGATAAAGTACACGGTCTCCAGCACGGCGTTCACTCAGAAATTTATATCTCACGTTTTGGAAAAATTGCGCGACAGCAAAGGGAACATAAGGCACTCTTACTCGTGGGCAGAGTACTCCCTTGCCGATTCTTCTTTCGATTGCTCGAGTAAGAATCGCTTCGAACAATTTCACCTAAATCTGTCGAAGAAAATTATGCTTGGCATATATTTGTAACAAGATACGAAAATAAATTGAGTTGTTTTTGTGATAATTATTCAGGCTCAGCGAAAGCGTGCGCGAGTGGTAGCCAAGCATCGTCGAGGGACACTTCCGATGACATTGGACGGTTGAGCGACGTGTTCTGCACTTCGCCTGATACTCCATCTTGCGACTCCACCTACCCAGGTGACCTGCAAAAAAGGAATTACGTTAGAAAAGAAATTGAAAAATACAATAAAAAAGAAACAAAAAAGAATTGTGACAATACTTGACAAAGATAAATCTTCTTTCTTCGTCGCGATCCTTAACATCTCGACAGACAGATATTTTACGTTTCTGAGTACTGAGGAAAATAATAAAATTCTGAAGTTGAACATTGCATTGTTAGGACGAAGATAAAAATTACCAAATAAGTTTTGAAATATCAATGTTGTAAATTGTACAAAGATTTTCCTAATTTTTTCATAACCAGGAATAGAATTTGAATGTGTTAATAACTTGATCAGCGATTATAAAATAGGAATAAAGAACGCGAGGAAAAATGTTGCGACAGGTCTCGATGACAACTGCGTGGACGACGTTCTCGGGGACGGAATCCATGGTCAGGATCTCGTCGACAACGATTGTTACAAAGAGATCCAATCGCACATGGATCTAAAGGCTGCTGCTCAGAATGCTACTGTCGAAACTGTAAACACCGATGAGGCCATAAGGGCTCTGATTAGAGACAGCGCAGTGTTGCCCGATAAAACGAGGAAACGCTTGCAGGATTACCAGGTGCTACATTCAAAGAACTTCGAATAAATATAATTTTAACTGTAAAAGAATGAAACTTCTCAGGTCACTCGAGCCAGTTGATTTGTGGACTACATTAATAACAATTTAATGCAAACGTTTTCAAACATTTCATGGTCTTCTTTAGTCACGGATCTTTATGCATTTCCAGGAAATTTGAATTTGCAAGAACGTACAAAATGCAAACAATATGCAGGAATATAAAAAAGGTTGAAAGTAAAGTTCATGTTGTAATATTTGTAAAATAAAATAAATTCCTATTTAGGTACATATTTTGTAGGCACGTTCGCGAATATTTTATGTTGCATAAAGATCCGCAGTTTACTTATCAGACACATTATATAATTAAGATGTACAGTGAGTGTAATAACTATTCGTACAGGAAGCATTTATTTTAAATTATTTACTGTACGAATACTTCTTATACTGATTGTACTAAAGAAAAACTAATATTATTCCACGAAATATCGTTATATTATATTAAGTATCGTTATATATACGATCTGAAAGCTACACGGGCCCATACAGGGATAAGAATATTTTAATGAATCGTTCTAGGTGGACCTGAACCACAGATCCACAGCCTGGCAGCGACTAGAAATGGAAACTGACATAGGCGTCCTGACAGGGTTGTTATTCGAGTGGTTGGAGACGTTGAAGCGTCCCTTGCTGGACGTGGACAGCCTGAGTTACATCGTCGCGTGGAGTTCCAAGCCCCAGCGATGCCTTGAGAAGCTATCAGCTTGCAACAGATACCTGTTGGAGTACCTGCTACGATTTGTCAGCCGACTGAGGCCGATGACGGCTGAGAGTCAGAGCTTGATAACCAAGAGGTTCATGGCTACCCTCACGCAGCAGAGTATTTGGATAAAAAACTCTTTCTATCCCTCCAGTAAGTATATTCAAACACTATTTCCATTCCTCTGTGAAAGGTTTGCTACGCAAATATATTTATAACTTATTTGGAAATTTTCAATACCTGATCGATAAAAATCATGAATACTAGAAATAGACAATTAGAATAAATGTTCAATGTACATTCATGTGACTGAAAATAACTATTAATTGAATTTTTAGTTGTAAATTATAAAATATTGCTAGTCGCAGCTTCTCGCATGATAGTGTCCAACAAAAAACTAGGTCTACCGAGACAGTATTTCCGTGTGGACAGTAGACAGTATTTCCCCATTAAGAGTTGAGGATTATATCAAATCACCCATGAATTTGATAAATATTCCAAAATTTATTATTCGCCAACTTTAGTGCATTATGCATTTTAATTTTGAGTTTAACCTTGCTTTGTTCGAAGCCATTATAGTCTCGAGAAGTACCTAAATCTTTGTACAACATTTATATTTCGCTATTTTTCTACTGTGAGTTCAAAGAAAATGTTGATTCCCTTATAGATGGTCTCTAGAAGTATTTGTAGAAAGCGTAATAGATTCCCACTCGAGCTCTAGGCTACACTTTCTGTGAACCTAGTACAAACTCTAAATCTCTATACATTGACGCAATATGGTTTGATTGTTGTATATTTGATGAAGATATGAGCATCGTCTAGACAGTTATCGTACGTCTCCGTTCCTTACCAGTGGACACATTGTGTTCAGCATGTTTGACAGGAATATTGATTCGTGGGACACGCTACTTCGTCCTATTTATATTATTAATAATTGTGGTTAGCATGCGAGAGACAGAAACGTGACAGACCTTGATATTGTAGCTGGTACCTTGCCCTCCTTTTTAATTTTACATTATTTATTCCGCGATTAGATGACTGCAATTCTCGTATTCAACAACAAATATATGTCTTCTTTTTTCTTTTAATATTACACAATGATGATGCGTGATAAAAATTTCGATTCATTAAAATAAAAGGCTATTTAAAATGACTCATCCTACATTACCTCCTCATACGCTAGAATAATGGAAAATATGTGCAAATGTATAGTACACGTGTGCCATTCACTTCAATCAGGAAATAAAAGTTATGTAGAATATAAATATAAACAACTAAAAGGTATTAGCCAGTACTCGAAGGTAAAAATAATCTTAAATATAATTCTAAAGAGTTATGAAATTTAAAGCAGTGAAGTATATTCCCTAAAATCTAAAAATAAAGCAAATCAAGCTAAGACATTAAATATTAAACGTACTCGTATTAATTTGATTCTGTTGCAGACAAAAATTTCCACAAATTACGACGAGGGACCGCGGCGAAGCTGAATGAATTTTTCATTAGATTGATGAACCTGATAGAGGAGGTCAATATACAGGAGATGGAGAAACCTTCGTGGATGTCCAAATGGGAATTAGTGTCCAACCAGTTGCGGCAAATAGAAACGCGACAAAAGGACGAAGAGACCGTTTAAATCGACGTTAATAAGTACAAGGAAATTAATAAAATTATTGAGCGTCCCGTTCAAGACATCTACAGAACGAGAAATTTGAATCGCGTATAGTTCGTAGTCGATTTGTATTATTTATTTTTACAATGGTGACAGTCAAACATCGTATTTTTCAAACTAAACGTGTACGTTCCAAATTATGGTGAACCATCTAAATAAATAACGGTATTTTAGTAGTAATATAAATATTGTTATTTTATTTCCAAGTCAATTATTTTGAACGTTTAGATCGGAAAACTTAAAAGTTGACTAGAAGAAATTACATGTTGGATCTATCTCGACCTGAAATAAATAATTTGGAATTATTTTTAATAATTAGGGGCGCCTTCTAAAAATTAGTACTCACCTTTTTAGCGAAGGGATTGACGATAGCTCCAGCTGATAAGAAAAATTTCCATCGTGCCATATTATTGTACTTTATCGATTGAAGCTAACAATGAAATGATTCTGTTTTATCAATTGACAATAACCCACACCAACAGATGGTAATTTAATCACAAAATTATTACTTATTTTTATACTTAATATAACTTTTGGTAGACTTGTAAAAAGTGTTACGATACTTCAAAGCTCGAACGATTTGCATTTTATGATTGAAATATGAGGAAACTGTCTCAAAAGAAACTAGTACCTTCAGCGAAAGAATTTAACGTATCACGGATTGTTTGCAGTTGTTTTATTAAATATGACAAACAAGGATTTCGGAAACAAACAGTTCAGACAGCTTTGCATCCCCATGTTCACGAATTGCTATTTTATTTATATTTATATTTATTTATATTCTTTTTCAAGACGATTCTATTAGATAAGAACTTAATCCTAGAGCTTAATTCGAGCTAGAAAATGCGATTCCTTAAGTTCTCTATTTACAGTATGATATAAGTCCTTCCGTGATCTAAAACACATATACCGTTAAACACATCAATTTACGTGTATAAATCTTGACGTACCTAACAGGATCGTATTTCTCATTTAAGCATATACAAACAATGTCAGTCTTATACAAAGAAAGTACAGTGAAAATTATATAACTCTCGGTACTTACAATTACTACTTAATCGGTATTGTAACTGCTAATCCCTTTTCGCTACCTTTTTTTTTTCATCCGACGAAAAAAAAAGGTCGATGAAACAGTCCAGAGGTGGTTGGTTTTCTTTTAGTAACACATTTAATTTTTCTTGGTAAAATCGGTACATTTTTACAAGGCAACTTATCATACAATACTTAATAAAGTAATCCAGACGATAAAGTTCTAGGAATTTCTTTCGTTTTCGAATAACTCTATAAAGTGCTCTCGGATTCTCATACGAGAACGTCCGCGTTTTCTTTTCATACGGCACAGGATAATACTGAAAAGATTCGTCGACGAATCCGATATCGAGATCCGATCTAAGCGACGAAGAACGTTTTTTCGAAATCATAGCTTTCCGTGTTTCCCGAAATAATGGATTCTCGCACGTCGAAATAATTGCGATGAAAATTAATCCAGCGAACACGTTCCCAATCGAGAATAAGTAATTTTGTATTTTCGAGAAGGATATTGTACGAAAAATTATTGAATTTATACAGGGTGTTCGGTATGAAGTACTACAAGTTGTTTTTTTTTTTTAGAAATTAATGAGGAGCTCGACTTCATTTTTGCTGTAGTCAAACGATATTCTTGTATTATTGGGATATTGGGATGTATTAGTTGATTTTATTGTTGAGATTAGTTATAAATAGACCGTGAATCTCTATGCATTTATATGAAATTTGGATGTGAAAGAAACTATAGAATAGAATATAAAAAAGATTGAAAGTAAAGTTCATGTTTCAATATTTGCAGAATAAAATAAATTCCTATTTAAAAGATTTTATTTTGCATAAAGATCCGCAGACTGGTTATAAAGAAATTTATAGTACTCGGTTTAAAATTGAAGTAAAACGATCATTTCGTTCTATTCATTATTATCCCGAACTAATTTTCAAGAAAATTAACGAAAGCACCTTGCCAATCATATTAAATATTTCTCCACCAAAATCAAATTCGACACCTCCATTAAATTCTAATCTAGCAGCTTCTGATACTTCACACAGGACACTCTGTGCATTCAGCACCGACCACTCGATACCTCTACTCTGATATGAATCGCGATGGGCCCATTTCATGCCACAACGAATACCAAAAATAGTAATTCGACGCGAGGATAGAGAACCGACGCTCGCGAAGTATTATCTGGCCGACAAAACGTGGAGAACACGAACAAACGATGGAACTATAATCGGAGGACTCTGAATCCCGTCTTTCCTACGCTCGTACGAAAAAAGTTTAAACATTCTTTTTTTACAGACCTATTCGAAATATACAACAAACATAACAGGGAACGTTTAAACATATACAATATAGAATATTCGCAAGGTAACAGCGGCTACTATACAAAAGTTCGTGAAACGAAAAAACATCGTTACGGTTCTCTCGTGCTGCTCGTGGATCCGATTTCGAGGAACATCGATTCGTGCCGCTCCGAGATCCGATCGATCAACCGTTGGTGTACATCGTTATACTTTTTTTTCTTTTTTCTTTCTTTTATCGATTGCCTTTGTCTTCGCTCGCGACACGATTAGAAAGAAAAAATGAAAAATCGTCGTTGGACAAAACGAGGGAGTGTCACGTGGTCGAGCTACCGGAAATCGACGGTCGTCGCCTTCGTCCTCGGGGTAATTCGACAATTTCAAAAGTAAAAATTAAATGCAGCCAGGTGGATACGCGCAATGTACTCGTGTCCGGTGTGTACGTGTTGTGTATGCCATGTATGTAATAGATTTTTATATACCACACTATTCGATAAACTCATTCATTCGCAGAAAAATGACGCAATGTGTTCGCAAATCCCTAATGCCTCGACGAGTTCAACTATTTACAGGAGAGTCTTCTTCTATGTTATATCAAGTTCTTAATCCATTATACACAATACATATAGACTTAGATTATGTAATTAGGTAGCGTTTTACGCAAAAGCGAGTCCACGCGGCGACGACGTACGCGAAACTTTCGTTTCTTTTCCGTTTTTCGGTTTCACTTTTTCGGTTTTACTTTTTCGGTTTTCGACGTTCGATGACGCGCACGACGACATGCACACGCATACGCGCACTCGTTCGATCCCTTTCTTTCTCTAATACTAAGAAATGTACGAATTTTTGTATCCAAGGGGAAGTAGTTTGAATGACACCAGAAAATAAGCACCACGCTTCTATTTTCGAGGAATAAATTCATTCTTTGATAAGAATGATAAATGAAATTAATGGAAGAATAAATAATAGAGTTAATAAAAATAAAGATCTCTTCGCTTCTGCTTTCGAGAAATAGATTCGTTTAAATATAAACATTCCACTTTCATTCTTTGAATTGGATTGTTGAGCTCAAGAAAAATAAAATTTTATAAAATATATGGTAGGGTAGTAATCATTTTTAAACACAATAACAACGATAAATGAAGTTAATGGAAGAATAAATAATAGAGTTAATCAAAATAAGGAGCATCTCGCTTCCATTTTCGAGAAATACATTTTTTTAAATATAAACATTTCACTTTCATTTTCTGAATTGAATTCCCGATAAATTCAAGAAAAATAAAATTCTAGAAAATATGTTGTAGTAGTTTAACAATAAATGAAGTTAATAGAATAAACAGTTATGAATAATGGAGTTACTAAAAAGTCTACGAGATTAACTGAATCTACCAATTAACTGAAATTTTTCAATGTTTACAAATTTATCCCTCGAAGACGAAAATGGTACGTTTCTAGATTCTCTCTGAGATCGTTCAAGGTGTCTTCACCTACGATTAAACAAATAACGATTACAAAATTCTGATCACAATTTGAGACTGTCTCCTGTTACGGCGAGGGGTTGAATTATGCGAAAATGGATTGAAAGGTATTTGGAAATAGGTATGCACGACACGCGAGCGGAACTTGGACGTCTAAGCTATTTTACACGCGGAATGGACAAAGTAGCTAACACAGGAATGAAAGACTATAGAATGATCGTGACGTCGTTAAATTCCAAAGTTTGAGCGGCGCGATTTATCAAGGGAAACGAAACGGGAAAGCTGCGAGTCGATGTCAACCCGAGCGCGAGTTAACTGTTTTTATCTGGATAAAAATGTATTGTTAATTTGAATTTTCGCTTTATGCCGGAGGAATCAATTCACGTTTAATATGTCAATGAAAATCGATGCACCATTAATTGCTAACACTCTATCGATCCTTTGACTTTATGCAAGTTCAGGAATTTCCAATTCATTTGGAACCGCATTTGAAATTCTGTATTCGTGGGTGGGATTTCATCGTGTCAGGTTTTTATTGTCAGCATTCGAATGTGTTTTAAACAGATTCACGTGAAAAATTGTAAAAGATGTTCTGATAAAATCATTCTGTGACAACGACACATATTTATGCTGATTGATAGAGTCAAGTTAAAAATCAAGAATTTACAGAATGTTCATATGACAAATAATGTAGCTTCGTAGCTTTGTAGCTTGGTAGATTTGACAGCTGTGACAATTGTTTGTCTTTCTGACGCATAATCAACTGTCGCCCGATAAATGCTAGAAGATCTTCCTCTCATCACAGACACGCTAATACATTGTTGCAGCGATGAAGGAGTTTCGCTTTCAGGAGACCTGGGGAAACTATCTACACGCGCGTCAACCATCGTCACCGAGAACTAATTAATTTACAAAAATATTACAAACAAACGTGCCCACTCCTGTGCCGCGAGTCGAACCAAGTGTACACAGAGTGTGCTAAAAGTGCTGAGCCAAATTTTTGCTTAGTATTTACCAACAAAACTATTCTTTTAAAGAGAAATCATTTTTTGTCCGTTGGTTATGGATCTATTCATTGATTAAAGTCTCAAGTAATTCACTAAAAACAAAAATAAAAAAATGAGATCGCATAGCAATGTATTTATGGCATTAATTGGATTCGACCAATGTGGAAATTTTATTTATTCATTGTGAAATGCTTCATTTAATAATTCAGATTTTAACTTTTATTCAATCTGCACCTAGTCAATAGTTGTTCATCATTTACTCGTTGCTTTAAATATTTTATTTATGCAAGGATTTGTCGATTTCTGTTCCTCGACAAGAGCCACTAAAATAGGAATAGCTATCGAACAGAGTACT